CCGCAAAAAAACTTCTGCTCTGGAGCCACAAACCACACTTATAATTATAGAACAAAACCTGTGGATTTTGCTAAAAACAACAACGAAAGCATAAGCCAAACAATCGCTGAGACATGAAAATGCAGCCATTTACAATAACACGTACCTTAAAAACCCAACGGGAATAGCAGCAAGGTAGTAAAGCAAATTCATGTACTGAGTCTGCATGAATAAAACTAGGAAGCACGAAGACTAAACAGCGTAGGACAAAATAGGCATGCATATGAAACGAAAAAACTGAAAACCCCGCATACGGAAGTAAGAAACGGACATACTGTGAGAACTGAACAAGAACTGACTGCTATCCCGCTAGAGCCGCTCAATAAGGTTGGAGAGAAAACCGAAGCCAGCGAATGAACCACTCACGGGATCCATAAGAAGGAAATGCTGAAACTAGGGAATTGCAACCTGAAAGATAAAGTGGTACTGTGAGGACAAAATATTGACGCGGCTCGAGGGATAGCAGTCTTACGCGCCAGTAATCCAACAGGGAATTAGACTCCCTTGTAAGACTGAAATCCCGGAGCGGATGCAGGAAAATAATAACAAGGAAAGCATTGAAAACAAATACAACCAAAGCAAAGAATACAACTAAGAAAATACTGGAAACAAAAGGGAAAGGGTACAGACAATACTGACCTTGAAAATGTATGTGACCGGATCGAATTTCGAACACGTGGCAACCTATAAAACCTAGGTTGCAGAATGAGATACTTACCGCGAGCAAGAAATTGAGAAGATGGAAATAAAAACAGGAGGCAGAAAGGAAGCGGTGAACGCCAATGAAGAAACAACGGGAAAGGCGAAAGGGTGAGGTGGGAAGGAGTTTGACGAGCACGTTTAATGAGGCCATGATGAAACCTGTGTGTGTTGTCTCAAAAATACTAATTAACGCATGGTGTCTTATATAGTCGCTTGGGCAAGACCGCTATAAATAGGAACGCTTTTTATAGTGACTCTCTCCTCCGCAGAGGCTTTTTTGGGTTGTAGGGGGACTGGGAAGAAAGAAAAAGAGAGCGCGCGGGGCACGATGGGAAGGAGAAAGAAAAAAACTGCCTTATAACTACTCGTTTCCTTATATTGTCTATTTGAAGTGCATGGCCTACTTTATAAGTAAGTCACTTATGAATTAAGGTATATTCCTTTTTGGTCTCGCCTGCGTAGGCAGCAACGCGTTGTTCGTCCCGGGGGCAGTCCCTTATATAAGCTATATAGGTATGTGCTGCGCCAAAGGGTGTGTTTTTTTAGCCGTTTTAGTCTTAAGGTCTCGGTAAAGGAAAGCGAGGTGCCCATAGAAAAAAACTCTAGTCGCGCGAGTATTTTCGCTACAAAGGCAAGTTATATCTCAAATTAAAGCTAAAGGACTAAATTACCTTTTAAAAGATTTTATTTCATCCAATTTTAGGAGGCGCTTAAGTTTTTTGCTCTCGAAATCAGAGGTATCGAGTTTACTGCTGAAGCTTCAGCCCTTTCGCGTTGTTGAATATTCACTTCCTTTTTATTGCATCTGATTGACAGATAAAAGACCTAAGAAAGGGCGTGAGGAATTTTCCGATTTCCCTTTGTAACTCATTTTATGTCAGTTTCTTTGCGTAAATCGCGCTCGAGATTCGACTTTTTAGTTTGAAATGCAATAATTCCGGTAATACGAGACATATGTTATGTCTGTTATCTTTCAATCAGATGCAATAAAAAGGAAGTGAATATTTAACAATGCGAAAGGGCTGGAGCTTCAGCAGTCAACTCGATACCTCTGAGTTCGAGAGCAAAAAACTTAAGCGCCTTTTGAAATTCGATAAAATAAAATCTTTTATAACGTAATTTAGTCTTTTAGCTTTAATTTGATATATAACTTGCCTTTGTAGCGAAAACACTCGCGCAACTAGAAATTTTTTCTGTGGGCACCTCGTTTTCCTTTACCGAGACCTTAAATAGAGTATCAATTTCGACCATTTTGGTCTGAAATAGGACATGGTTTGTGCACTCTAGCCTTGAATTGGGTATGTTTTTTAGAACAATTAGCTACTTCTTCATCATTAGGCGAAAGACCATTTCCCTTTTAATGTTTACGCCAGCTACTGGGTACGTGCCGTAACATCTTGTCACGCGCTCCGGTGACGCGCCGGGCTCCTGGGCTTCAGGTCTGAAGGGTATCAAATTTTTGATCAGGTCTGAAATAGGGTAGGGAAAATCACAGATTTGGGTCCGAAATAGGGTAAGGGTTTCAGGAAGCGTGCCGCACACCCCCTCCAAATTTTTCTGGAAGTACCCCCGGAATTTTTGGTCGTAATTTAGGACACAAAAGGCAGGTCATTGTGCCAGGCGTTCCTTGCGGAGACCGTGGAAACTTGGACTAAGAATCGTTGCGTGATCGAAGCCACGCATGTTTTGCGAAGAAAGCTTAGGAAAGATTAAATTTAGAGCTTTTCCGAAACGTGTCGGTCCACGAATTCTATCGCTTGAAATTGCGATGGTCGGGTGTTATAAATTTAACTGTATCCAAATGAGTCTTGTGATGAGCATGCGATCTATTTTCGGCGATGATAGCTTCTCTGTAATCGAGGCCCTTGAATTTTCGTTTATTTATACACGTGTATAGCCTGCTACCGGAGAGGTATTTTTGGTCGTCGCTAACACGCGTTCTAAATCAATTCAGAAACAAAGAAAAAAGTATCGACGTCGATAAAGTAGGAAGTAAAAAACCTTTAGCGAGTAAATCATGTTTCTTGTAGAATTAATCGCCTCCTCATTTCTGGATCTAATCTCCAAGCAGGCGAGACCTGTATGCCGCTGTAAGCCGCTGTAAGCGCGTTCTTGTTACAAGTAAGTTACCTATTGGATAGGAAACTCTAATGTTATAATCGCTTAATGTGCTAGCTTCTCCGCAGATTCAATCGGCGTAAAACGTTTCATGAGCCAAAAACTGACACAATCGTTTCTTTACTCGATATTGTCTATTTCAACATTGTCTACTTCATAAGCAGATAACTACAACTTTACGAATTTAGGTAAATTCTATTTTATAGGTAAGTTACCTTTTGGGCAGGAAACTTTTACCTAATGGGCTTTACTACGCGACAGATTCAACGGTATATCCTAAATTGAAGTTTTATATAGGCGACATATGTGCCGGTATCTTCCGTCAATTTTACCTCTACAGCCTACTTCATAATAAGTAGGTACATAGAAATTGAAGTAAACCCTACTTTATGAGTAAGTTACCTATACTCCACTACTTGTAATAAGTGCCATATCTACTCGTATCTTCAATTCTAATTTTAACAGTATTGAAAAAATATTGTCTACCTAGTGTGCATGAACTTTTTCAGAAGAAAGAATAAATGTAAAACAGGGGCGTAGCTAGGGGTGGTCCTGGGGTACCCGTGCCCTCGCCCCCTTTGTGAGGTAATTGTTTTATGTCCCTATAATTCAGGTGGCCAAAACGCGCGAATCCGAAGAATCAACATGCAATAAATCTTTTCCAGTGCTAGACTGTTGCTTACCCCAATTGCAGGACCAAACATCTGCAGTGGACCATGTTCGTTCTTGTTCGTAACTAAAATTATAGAGTAATTTATGCCACGTGGAACTTAATTAATCCATGCAACTATCTCACTGCTCATCCAAAACAACGTCACTTGTAGTAGAAAACGGCCAGGATGTCGACATGTCAATCTTGTAAGTACCCTGGGTGTGACACAGCGTCAACCCCCCTCCCCCCCCTCTATAAAAATATTTTTCAAGTAACGTAATCTATTGTATATGGAAAAATAAACCTACCTATTTTTGTATTGTTCCAATTTAACCATCGTATAACCAAGCTTAGGACATAGACTAGCGTCTCAGCGGTTTTCTCCCAGACTTATAATTGACCACTCCAGAAAATACCATATCATACTATAATGCTCTTTGTTTGTCACCCCAAAATTTTGCATACGCATTGTCTTCAGTTTCGCTTTCGAGTTAAAATGGCCCCAAGAGAAACTGAAAACAATGCTTATGCAAAATGTTGGGGTAACAAACAAAGAGCATTATGGTATGTTTTGGTATTTCAGTCTGGAGTGGTCAATTTAAGGTGGCTGAACGACCTGGCTGAACACAGTTTTGCGGGCGGTCAGCGGTAACTTTCGTGACGGTGCGTGTTTTAAATTAGACAGACCAACATGGCGGCGAAAGAGCAATGGAACACAGAAGACGATTTCTCAAAATCTACTCATTAGAATTTTGTGATATTTGGCAGAATTTTTCCTTTCATCGTATTTTAAGTAATGAGAACTTTAAAATGGAAGTTGAACAGACGAATTTTGGGACACATTTAATAATTACAGTACAATTAAATTATTGATTATCTAAAAACTCGTCTGTTAAAATTTGGTCAAATAAGTTTCAAATGGGAATGATTAATTATAGTAAGCTGTGTGCAAGTTTATAGGAAAATCTAATGAGCGTTTATGTAAACTGAGAAAAAGTGAAATTTTAAGGTTGTATTCAATCGTTCATGTTGCCATGGAAACTACGAAAACGTCAATTTTTACCTGTTCATCAAAATCTTTCATCAGTACATTTTTCACTTGCCAAGTTTCAGCTTGTGAGCAGCAATCTTTCTCTTGCCATGATTTGGCAAATGACACATAATCAAAAACTGCCAAAACTGTGTTGAGCCACCTTAACTTGTTGTTAAAAACGTTACTCCACAAAAAAGGCATTTGCTATTGACCACGATGGGAAATAGGAAAAATATATACAGCTGTACGACTTTTGGGTATCATTACTAAAATTTTACAGAAAATTCCTCGCTACTTCCAATAAGTGTTTTTTTTAACTTAAGTAATTGTTTTCCTAATAAGACTTTTGTACACTACTTTGTCACGATAAACAATTAGACGCAACTTCCTGCAATAGACATTTTAGCAATTCAATTCTATCAACTGCGAAAGTTTTCACAAAATATTTGATAGACGTTACACAGCTCTCGATAATTCATCGATTATCTCCTGCATGGTTGGTCTCGCTCCAGGATCTGTCTGCAGGCATCGCCGTACCAGGCCTCTTAGGGCGCGATTCGTCATCATTAGAACTTGCTGTTCACGTCTTCTCGGATCTGGAAGTTCGCGGATGCACATTTCACAAAGAAGCACACCAAAGGTATAAACATCAACCTATAAACAATACACAGATTATTTGTCGTTATTTGCCTTAGAACATTCTATTATACTACTTCCAGTATATACCCACCACTCAGCGTCATTTTTGATATTCCTTTGGTTATTTAGCAATTATTTGATGAAGCTGAGTATGATTTGAAGAATTATGCAAATTTCGGGGGGGGGGGTAAGTTCACGTCTCCATTTGACTGTTTCTTAGCAAATTCAGTAGATAAAGGAATGCAAAGTCTAGATCATACCGTATTTACTCAATTAAGCGCCCAGCCTCGCCCGGCCTGTAGGGAGGAAAGTTAATAAGCGCTCCCCTCCTGATTCACTCTTTCCACCGAGACCATAATACACCATGTTTACCTCACAGAATTTTGCATAACCATTGTCTTCGATTTCTCTTGGGATGAATGTAATACCCAGGGGAATTGGAATTTTAAGTTGTATGGTTTACTTCAAGAAATTGTTCATAAAAGCGCACGTTAAGACAAATGTACAGAAACTTTTGTCAGTGATTGTCGCTATCGAGAAGGAGCTACCCTCCCCTACCGCCTCGAACTGAGCCTGTAAAGATAGTACGCGCGCTCTGATTGGCCGAGAGGAGTGTTTGCATGAGTATGTAACCATGTAAATTTAAAAATTGTAAAACTGACGCTGTTATCATAAGAATCTTAACTGACGTTTCGGCAATGCTGCCTTCTTTAGGGTATACAATACTAAATACCGTAAACATGGTCGTGGCTTCAAAATGTTTTGCTTTTCGCGCGCTAATCACGCAAGCGTGAATTTGAAAACGTTTTCGAGTTCAAAACTCGACAAGTTTCCTTTATTTACCCATTCCTCCGTCGGCTGAAACTTGGAAAAACGTTACAAAGAAGGCCGGGTGTGTCAATTTTTTTTCGCTTAAGCTGACAGTTTAAGCGAGAAAAATCCGTACTTTGAATGGCATCTTTTTGCAAAACAAGAACTGATTACGCGTGCAAGGCTTCGTGCACAAGACTTTGCGACTGGTAAGAATTTCTCTTTTAATCAGTGCCATAACAAAGAGTTTTGCGTTTTCCTCGGGAAAGTTATATTATAAAAGCAATAGAAAACTTTTTTCCTGCGTTTGCATAGCCTGATATTAACACTAGAGGGGTTGGGAGAATTCTCGACATAGCCTGAGTATCAGGCCTTCCTAAGGGGATGGGGGAGAGGAGATTTTTGATGGGGGAGGGGGGAGGGGGGAGAAGAGAAAGGAAGGCCTGACACAAAACCATTCAGCACATCGTGTGACACATCCAGATTCTGGATGTGGCAGTGATTGGATAACACACAATACGCCCTGACGTCACCGACCGCAAGTAAACACGAGCAGAGTGTTATGATTTCATGTGGTAATTTTATGGATAGAGACGCAGAGAGGAATTCAAAGAGACTCTAGAGGGCGCTCTCAAGTTCTTTCCGGGAATAAAAATAAAACCCGAGAAAGAATTATGTTTTCAAAGCCTCGTAGTTAAAGGAAAGATGTTCTCGGAGTATGGAAAAGCCTCATATACCAGCTTCTGCCGAAACTATGTCCGAGTATTGGTTTCACAAGACCAGGACAAAGAAGACGATATCAGTGCTTCAGATATCTAAGTTTTGATTTACAACATCCTGCCGCTAAAAGGGTATTGTTACTGTAAATAAAATTAGAGCGAGGTAGCCATGTATTGAGAATACCCGACAGCACCAAGGCTTTAGCTTGACTTTAGATTTTCTCTCGGACGATTTTCGGCCTGATCTACAGCAGCTCATTAGCTGCCAGATTCTCGGGAACCTGCTTATTAATGAGCGCCGCTGTTGTAACTCTGTAAACAAAAGCAGTTTACAGTTTTCGGGCCACACGTTTATTTACAAACAGAGCGTTGGCGGTCTTACATTAGCACAATTCCTAAAACATGTTACAAAACATGTTCAAAAACGGCAAATTTTCCATTACAAGTATTCGAAAACTCCTCATTGGAGGTTTCAGAAAAAGCGAAATCGTCGCAACACAGACACCAGAGCTCGGCCAGACCGTATGGTGAGATTTATTTTAGGCGAGCGTTTTGACACGTGAAGCTGACAACTCAATGACCGGATGTGATTTTGATTGGATAGTATCGAATCATGCTGTGTGGGGGTGGAAGGTTCCAGTAAAAGCATCTGTGTCAGGCGTTTCTCTCCTTCAGCTCCCTCCCTTTTTCGTTTCCATCTTTCCCCTTTTCCCCCAGAAACGCCTGATACTCAGGCTATTCTCGACAGGAACCCTCGAGTTCGTCTCGGGTTTGCATAACTGTCTCGAATTCTCCCAACCCCTCTCGTGTTTATATCGGGCTATGCAAACACGGAAACGTTTTCTATTGCTTAAAGCATTACTGACATTATTTCTGGATGGCCCCACTGAGAATATATTATAATGGTCAGCTTCCTAAGCGGGGACGTCACTCTCTCTCTCAATGAGGCGGTTCGACTCTATCAGTTTTATTTGCGTAGTCGCCAGTATGATTAACTGAAGAACTAATGGGAAACATTTAAATCACAACAGACGCTTGTAGCTTGAGTTTGTTTTCTCGTGGCATAAACACCTGAAAGCGACCATAATAATGGAGCCATAAACATTTGAGTTCAACTGGTAATGGTTTAAGAAATCACCGCTACCACCGATTGACCGGGGCTTAAGCAGTACAAGCAGCAAGGGATATTGCCATTCCACACTGCACAGGGGCATTCGGGTTCAACATTATTTTTCTGCTTCTAATTACATGCCTAGGTGTGGGGTAGGGTTTCTTTCGTGTGAGTAACGAACAACCTGGCCTTAAAGTAGCTACGCGCTCAAGATAACTGCATCAATGCGTCTCTTTGAAGTCTGAAGGGGATGATGAACCAGTGCTGAATAGAAAAATTCTAAATTCGCTAAAACTAACCTTGACTGTTTGGTTTGATGTAAGTGCTTCAGGTGCGCTGTAAATCATAGCTCCAGGAGCTACTGTCATGGTCTGCTGCATGAAATTAGCAGTGCCATAATCTGACACTTTGCCTCTCCATTGGTCACCCTGTCGCCATAGCAACACATTAGCACTGCTCACATCCCGGTGAATGATTGGTTCTGGTTTCTTCTGATGAAGGTAGTTAATTGCTCGGGCTACATCCACAGAAATTACGCATACTTCTATTTCGGCGAGTTGTCGCTGTTCTAACAGAGCTCGCAGACTTTTCTCCATCAGCTCGGTCACAAACAGAGGGTTTCCTTCATCGTTAGTGGCGCCGATAAACTGAAGCAAGTGAGGATGGCGACATTTGGATGCAATATTCATTTCTCTCTCAAAAAGACGTATGTTATGAGGGGAGAGAATCAGATCATGAATTTGCTTTACTGCTACAGTACAGCCACAATACACGCCTTCATAAACACTTCCCCAGCCTCCTCTGCCAAGGCATTTATTGGTCATTTGAATTTCATCACGGGAAATGACCCAATCGCATGTTTCCTGTTGTTGCTGTTCACTTATTGTTTGCCGAGCTAAGGAAAGACTTAACTCTAGTTCATTTACTTCCTGGTCTTTTTCTCTCAGCTGTCTTTGCAAATTTTCTTCACGTTGCTGCATCTCCCTCAGCTGCCTTTGTGAGTTTCCTTCGCGTTGCTGTGTCTCCCTCAACTGCCTTTGCGAGTTTTCTTCGCGTTGCTGTGTCGCCCTCAGCTGCCTTTGTAAGTTTTCTTCACGTTGCTGAGTATCCCTCAGCTGCCTTTGTAAGTTTTCTTCGCGTTGCCGCATCTCTCTGAGTTGCCTCTCTAAATTTGCTTCGTGCTGCTGTATTTCCCTTGATGGCCCTGGAAAGTCTCCACCGAGTGCAGGCGTTTGGACGCTTGCTCCACGTAGATCCTCCATATTTTCTGAAGGAGTATAATTATTTTATGACAATTAACAGAAAAAAAAAAACGAACTGTACCTTAAAGGATTTAAGGCAGAGGACACAATTCTACACACAGAATAAACAACAACTGGTACTAGATACTAGGTTTATGTCTGACATGCGTCGAACATACTGCTTTGGATCAGCAGTGGTAAAAAGAGTACTGTATAATGATACAGAGACACTGATGGTAAGGCTACAAAGCCATTTACTAGGTTCATATGTGACAGACGACCTACATACTGCTTGGATCAGCAATGATGAAAGAGTACTGTATAGATAGTTTTCACAGTGACGTCATCAAATTGTAAAGTCAAAATAGAGAGGTTTTACGAATTCTTATTTACACTAGGTTGAAGATAAACAAAACAATAAATCTTTGCACAACGTTCCAGTCCCGTAGCATGTTTCATTTCGCAAATACAGCAATTTGAACTTGAGTTTTCACAGTGCGTGACACCAAAACTGGAATGCTGTCTCGCTGAAAAAAAGTCTCTCCTCTTGATTTTCAGCAGTATAACCATTTCAAGTATTAGAAGATATGTTTATGTGCACGTATGCTAGTTCTTGAAAAAAGTGAACTCCAGATGTTTTCGTTTCCGGCGGCCATATTGGTGCACCAAAACCATATTGGCCATATTGGTGCACCAATATGGCGTCTCCATACAAAGTTCTACAAAGGAGCGTGAAACGTTTCGGCAAATAACTCATAAACTGTGAGCCACAAAGACCTGAGACCTAGACCAATTGTTTACTTTGTTTTTTTTGTTTGGATTCTTCCACGGGACGGTTTCCAATTTATTTTTTTTGTTGCGTGACAGTGAAAAAGATCTATAATGATACAGAGGCACTGATGGCAAGGCTACTAAGCCATTTACTAGGTTGATATGTGACACACGTCCTACATACTGCTAGGATCAGCAATGATGAAAGAGTACTGTATAATGATACGGAGACACTGATGGGAAGGCTACTAAACAATTTACTGGGTTCATATGTGACACACGTTTTACATACTGCTAGGATCAGCAATGATGAAAGAGTACTGTATAATGATACAGAGACACAAATGGGAAGGCTACTAAACAATTTACTGGGTTCATATGTGACACACGTCCCACTTACTGCTAGGCTCAGCAATGATGAAAGAGTACTGTATAATGATACAGAGACACTGATAGTAAGGCTACTAAGTCATTTACTAGGCTCATATGTGACACACGTCCTGACTATCACTACAGTGAGAGCTCCGCTAAAAACAAGTAACAAAAAATATCGTAGCTATATTACAAAAGCTGAACCCCAAAGTGGCTATTTTTAGAAAATGAACTCGATTGGATATGCGAAAGGTGTTTTGACATGATCACATGATCATTTCAACTTAAAATATATACTTCGCTTTTATCGCATGAACTCTACAATGCTTTTACGAGTTTTCAACAGTTGCTACTTTGATTATAGCCTTGCGGAAAGCATTTGATACCGTCAACCACGAAATGCCACTGAATAAACTGCACGTACTTGGGGTGACGGAAGGTGAACAAGAGTGGTTCAAAAACTATCTACCGAACCGCGCTCTAATTGAATAGAAGTGTGTGTAGTGCTGCTGAACGTGTGTCTGTTGGAGTAACACAGGAGTCTAGGGCTGTTATTTATCTTCAAACTGAATCCCAGTGCGGTGATGGAATGCAGTGTTCTCATGAACGCCAACGATACCGTCGTATTTTCTCAGCTCCTGAAGTGTCTGTTATCCAGGCTACCTTAGTCTTAGTTAGGGAGCTTCAAGCCACGGAGTGTTGGTTTCATTCTAATCATTTATTTATTAACACAGCTATTAAAGACTGAGGCAATGCTGTTTGGTTCTTCACAGAAGCATGGTAAGAAAAATCAGTTCTCAGTTACTATCAATGGCTCTGCCATAAAGCGCGTTACTGAGTTTAAATATTTGGGTGTTATCTGGGATGAACACATTAGCTGAACGAACATGTTAAAATGACCATGTCCAAGGCTCGATCAACATAGCCTACTTGTGAGGAAATGCATAGATGGTCGGTGCACTCAGTATTTTAAGGTGGCCCGATTGGATTTTTCAGGGTCCCAAGTTTGAGTGTTAGATACGTTGCCATAAACAAAGATTTGGAAAAATCAGCTCCACAGCCTATATTAGATAAAGTGAAAATGTGTTATGTTCAGGTTGTCATAGCAACGAAATGACGACATTACCTATTTAATTGCAGCTGTTTTTCTGGTAGCCTAAATTTTAGACGATTACTTTGTGTCTTTTCCTCCTCTCAGCAAGGTCGGCCGTTTTTGCCGTCCAGTGACGTCACCACACGAAAACGGGGTAGTGATTTTGATTGGTTAACTGTCCAAACATTCGCATAATTATGACAAATTTTAAGCTGGATTGTCCTTTGATATTCAGCAGAGTGCATCTCTGGCATGCTTGCGTGGATTTCAAAAAATTTTATCGTAAACTGAAAAATCGCCCTTGTCTTCGAAACTGAATTGTTAAATTGAACTACGAATGAAGAATCACTGCGGAGGGTCGGTAAGTTTTTCATTTAGAGCCGCTTTGTGGTTTCGGCAGTGACTGTGTTTGTGCGAAGTTTTCGAAAACGGATTTAAGTTAAAATTTTCAACTCTCTTGTCACTTTCACCGTCAAGTCAAGTGTAAAGATTCCGTTAGCTTTTCGATCTTTCTTGTTTTCTTTCTTCTTCGTTAAGGACCAAATAGCTTCTTTCTTCGATTAAAGCAAATTGTTGTGTTTTCAACGTGTTCGTGTGTATATATCGAAGCTTATTTCATTGCGTGATTGCGATCGACTTTGATTATTGAATAACAACAGATTCGTTCAGAGTGCCGCATACAGATGACAGTTTCAACGGTAAACATGAATTACAGTTTTTGTATATCTAAACAGGTTTTCTATATCTAAACAACTTAATTTTGTTACATTTTGAATTGTAATATTTCGCGCAAAAGAAGTTGTTACGTTTTGCGCGAACAGTTTGTTACACCGCTTTGCGTTACTGTATATGATTGCTACATTTTCTCCAAAAAGCTGTTAATGCTTAATGTCATTACATTTTGCACTAATTATGTCAATTAAAATATTTTGCGGCATAAAAGATACGGAAAGGCCGAAAATGAGGAGACCAAATTAATAAGCGTTAACAACTCTGTTTTTATAACTGACTCATTATTGAGTCTGGATATTTCACGCAGAAATTTTAATATTACAGCCTCGTTATCCTTTCACATGAACAGAGGTTTCACCATATGTCTTTAAATTCAAAAACCAAAACCTACAGACTATTTAACTTCTCACACCAACAGCTTGGGCTGCCTGTATCATTGCCTGACTACCTGTACAGGTTTAACTATATGCCTTAAAATTAAAAAATCAAAACCAAACTAACCAGTCACACCTTAAGCTTGGACTGCCTGTATCCAGACACAATGTATGGGTTTACCCATAATATGCCTTTAAATTCAAAAACCAAAACCAGACTAACTAGTCACACCAGAAGCTTGGGCTGCCTGTATCCATACATAATGTACGGGTTTACCCATAATATGCCTTTAAATTCAAAAACTAAAACAGACTAACTAGTCACACCCTAACCTTGGGCTGCCTATATCCGTACGGGTTTAACCATATGCCTTTAAATTCAAAAACCAAAACCTAACTAACAACTGACACCATAAAGCTTGGGCTACCTGTATCATTGTCTGACTTACTGTACGGGTTTAACCACCAAACTAACTACTGAACTCTCGCCATAAGCTTGATCTGCCTGTATCTATACACTATGTGCCTCTTTGTTTCAAAACCAAAATTAAAAAAGGATTGGAAATTACATTTCATACTCTTAGTCTTACCTTTGATAGAGGCGGGCATCTTGTCAATGAAACGCTGAAGCTCATTTGGATCAGCATCTTTTAGTTGAACATGATTTTCTCCTCCATAATCCAGCCCGCTAATGATCACTGTATCCTTGATGACCTTCATTGTAGTTTCAGGCATAATGTTAAACTGAAACGGTAAGAAAAGATAATGATATAATTCGGGTTAGCAAACTCAAACCTGTATAAAGCGGTCATCCTTGGGAATGGCTCACTCACCGGTTAATACAGGTTGACAGGTTTGCAAACCTAGGAGTTAATATTCAAAAAAACGAAGCTGGTGAAAGAGCGAAATATCAGTCCCACGACAGATTGACCTCAAACTGGTTCTAGCTTTCTTGCACCAAAAGAAATGAAGTAAAAGTAGACTTGTCAAGTCTCACGACTTTGTCGCGAGTCTGACGATTTTAGTACCTGTCTCACGCTCTCACGAGTTGGCAAGTGATTTCTCACGCTATCTCCAAAACATTTTGGAGCTGCTGGGTTCGTTTCTAAGTTAGATATCAATAGATAGCCAGCTCAACCCAAAGAAAACAGTAATAGAATGTAATCAAACGCGACTATTCTTTTAGCCTACCGCGCAACTTGCCGCTGCCACCAAATGTGGAGACTTACTGTTTCTCTTGTTTCAAAATGGCGCCAACAAAACACAGAATTTACAAAACCTAAATTGAAAGTTGATCGTCATGTTTACTGCTCCAGCTTTAAGTGATATAGTGACTTCTAATACCCATAAACTCACTGAAATCTCTCACGACTTTTTGCCCATTTCTCACTTCTTTCCCAGCTCTGGTTCAGAATATCACATTTTTTGCCTTTTGGGGTTGGCAAGTCTATAAACGACCAATAAACACCCTACACAGTGTATCCTTTTGCACTGGTATGGCACATCTTGTCAAAGGGACAGTTTAATAGAGGTAAAGACAATAACAAATTACTAATTGGGACCTTGAAAACAGGTGACCACGGCTTCTAAATAGAGGTAACCGTTAAATACAGCTCTGTGTTTGCAATAATTAAGGGAAGCTATCTCCAGGACTTTAATTAGTGACCCCTTATAGAGGT